AGTATGGTTCTGTGGATAGGTATTGATCTCTGACCCTCTAACCAGAACTCCTTTTCACTATGAGGAAGGCATAGATTAAATACAGATCTGCTCAAATCTTTAGACTCCTTCCCACCCCATAAATAATAAAAAAAAACTTTTCAGAGTTGAAACCTTCTTCAAATTCAATCATGCCATGCTGCGCAGTAGGTGTGCTCGTAGGATGAGGTACCACGCTTCAGAGGAAGGTAGAAGAACGTGATCAATGGCACAAGTAAGCAAAAAAAGTAAGCTTAATGAAGAGCCATTTCTTCTGCACAGACTGTCTTGGCAGTTCTTCCTTCACAGAAGAAACGCTATGCTCTGGTATCCAAGCGTGTAATTTACAGCGAAAGTAAACTCTGCATATGGGAAGGCTCTAACCTTTGTTGCGTGCGCCCTGGGAGCGAAGCATTGCCTTTCTATTCCTGGAGCTAAATAAAACTAACTCAAATTGACACTCAACAAACAACGTCCATATTTCTTCCAAAGTATCGGAAACAGGCCTGGCCTTATAACTAGCTTGTCACATTGTTTCCCCTCTAACAAACAACATCCTCTGTGCTACATCTGAACTTCACCACTGCCTGTTACCTTCTGCAGAGAAGAAAAGAGCCCATTACATAATCAAATTGAAGTGGAACCCTACTGTGGATGCTCATTTTTGAAGCTCAGTGTGTTTTGGTTCATTTGTTTGCTTGTTTTGTGTGTCTTTTGTGTTGATTTTTTTTTCAGATCTTCTCCTGTTTTGTTCTCACACTACATTCCTGGCACCAAACTCCATACTCGGTCCATGTGCTAAAGACATCATGAGATCCTGGAAAAGTAACTTCTTAAATAAATACAGAAACAAGTCTGAATTGAGACTAGGGAGACCATAGGGGAAGATTTGAAATAGGATTGGAAGTGGTTATAATATAGTCCACCTTCCTTTTAATCTAAGGGGAACATCCCTTTTTTAATGGGAAAAGCAGCAATTTGAATTCAATTTCTCATAAAATGGACTATCTGATAGGACACTGAACTTTGTTTATCTCTGAAAACTCTTTAGGACTGCCAGATAATATTTACAATTAAGTTGGTGCGTTTACTTTTTGGAGGGCCCTTTTCTTCCTGTTTCTAAAATCATATACATAAGATATAGTAAAATATTTCTAAATTTAGTTCAAGGTTTTCTTAAAGAGTTCTTTTTTTCAGTATTTTTCCAAGCAATGGAAATAACTAATTGCCAGATCCTTAGCTACAGCAGTTTCTTTGACTTTAATGTAACAGTCCTGGTTTAAATCAGCTGAGTATCTGCCTATTAACTCCATAATGTATTTCATGCAAAGCGCATATACAAACAGTATTTCTCTTTCTTTTTTTTCCTTTTCAGAGTTTTCTTCTCTGCTGTGTTGACAGTGCAATGCCTAAGGAGATAACCAAAGGCATTATTTTGTCTCACCTTTGGTAATTAACGGCAGTAGGAGCAATCTGGATGCCATTCTGACTTCTCAGTGTCAGGTTAATTCATGCATTCAGACATGCACTTGTTTAAGTTGGAAATCAGTAGAAGCCTTTAAATAAGTGAATGTCTGGAGGACTAAAATTTCCCATAAACGTCCAAGATCCAATCAGGAAATTTTGCCCTTTCACAGAGCTTGCTTCTTGATTTTGGATGATTTGGAGTACCATTAAAACAATTTCCTTGATAATGCCTAAGTGATTATAGCAACATTTTCCATTAAAAATGAACAAACACAGAAAAGAGTATTTACAAAACATACAGCACTCCTCCTGTGATTCCTGAGGAATATGTGCCTTAGAGCTCAGTTGATAAGATTTTGAGAATCTGTAATTTAAAACTGCTTTCTGTTTCTTGTCCTGCAAAACTGGAAATCAAGTCATCACATGGGATTCACATCCTCAGATAATTAGATCCCTCCAATTTCAGGGCAGGGAGGTAGTTAGGAACCACTATGCAGTGTTTCTGGCAATGATTTTTTTTTTTCATTTCTTTCCACTTAAATTGGAAAGGAATCCGCTCCTGCAGTCGTGGCATCCATATGTGTGTGCAGGTGAGTGCGCCTGGTATTGGCTTTAACCTGACTTGACTTGCAGATCATTGCACTGCAAAACAAGAGCAAAAAAGTAACAAGGAGACAACATACACATCCAAATCTGCCCTATAGCCTTTTTCCATGATGGTGTAGAGGGACTTGTGTTTTGGCTTCCATTATGACTGTTCGGCTTGAGGTACCTTTTGACTCCACTCTTCGTGTTCGGGGATCCTGTTTTATCTTCTTTTCCTCAGGCTTCCTCACATACTTCTCTCTCTTTTTTTCCTATGGAAGCTAGGAAAGCTCTGCACCAGGTAAAAAGTACCCAGAATACTGCCAAATTGCTGGAGTCAGGGATGTTTTGCATAATCTGAGGATCCAGCTCAGGGAATTCTTTTAAATATCAGAAGAAAATCCCAGTCAAACAACGGGTAAATGAATGCTAACGTATTCTTCCTGCTCCTCCACAGATGTCTTTTTTTCCTGCTGTCTTTTCCTCAGGATCCTCCCTGGCACTTCCCAGTCCTGATTTACATAAAAAATATGTTTAAAACTCTTGATGCCTATTGTTATTAATCAGAGTTTTGGCCTTGCTTCTCAAAGGATCCGCCTGAAGATGTCTAATGACAACGCGCTAGGCTAAAACAACAGTCAGAATAATCCCTTCACTGAATGCTCAGTAACTGGGGAGAGCATCTTAATTAAATCAACAAGCAGCTGCCCCACTCATAGAGCACTGTAAATCTTCAGCCTCGTGAAGAAGGAGAGAAAAGGCAGCTAGATATCTCTGTGACTAAAATGGGCATTATTTCTATTAATATCTAAATGACAAGCCATAGTTAATCCTTTGTCCTTCCTGATGTTATAGCAGGGTATTAAAGTGTATTAGTTTCCGCAAAATACATTTAATATTTATAAATACATATATATAAATAAATATATTAAAAGATGAAAGGTAAAGTACTTTCAGAGTTCAGGAATGCTGGCATAGCTGCTCACATTTCATGTCAGTGACATTAAGCAGTGCCAGATACAGTACTTTTCGTAACTGCTTGTACCTTGAATTTAATGTGGCCTGGTGAAATGCTAAACACTATTAGCTGATTAAAAGAATAACAACCTCAGAGCAGTTCCTGTAGGATCAAGTAACCTCTCTACATAGAGGGCTGCATGATACTGGGCAGTGTGATAAAAATACACTGATAAACAGTGATATATTCACCTTTTTAAAGTTGACAACCAATCAGTTCAATTACTGTACGTTTCTGTTGTGACTGGAATTTGGATCAGATGTGTGAGAAAAATGCCTGGGATCACATATGCCAGGAACCCATGAAACTTTTGCAACAGGATCTCTTTTTTGGCACAGGCTGTGTCAAGCACTGAAGGGGGGACAAGCAAGGGTTTAAGTGCGGATAAGTTGATTTTTATTCTGCTCTGTTCTCCACAGCTACAGATAAAAGTCAATTAGTAAGGAGAAATTAGGCCTCGGTTAACAAGAAATCCTTAAAAATCATAGAGTAAAGGGCACACTAAACTGCCTTCCTTAAAAGGCCCTTTTGATGGTCTAGTTTGCAGCGAGCAATGTTACACTGTTGATTTTAAAGGTAGTCGGGAAAGAAAGCTGGGGAGGAGCCCAGTTTGCTGAAATATCTTCCATGCTTCAGCCGTTTCACAATTTGTCCATGTAATATCTATCCCAAGCTGGACAGAAAAGGAATCTGCAGATGGTTAACCTCGTACAGGAATGTGTATGTAGCTCATCTCTTGCAGATCCATTTTAGGAGGAGCAAGTCTCATGCAGAAGTGTCACATAAAAACATGGGGTCCTGTATGTGTTTTCCATTGACAGTCTCTTTTGAGGGAGGATTGGGGCTCTGACTAAATAAGAAATTGTGTGAGTGAAGTGGCAATCCTCTGGAAAATCTTTTGGTCTTTCCATCCAAACCCCCTCTCTTCCAAAGCCAAAAGCAAAGGCCTTTGAAAGATGAAATACTGCAGGGCCACGATGGAGCTTCCTGAAAATCACCATTCAGATATCTCAGACCTCTGTATAATCTCCAGCCACATGACCATGGGACTCCTCTGATATATTATAACAGTATACTGTGCTGCTTAATGGAAAACACAATATAGCTAGAGGAAGATAGGATCATGAAGCATTCATGCTGCAAAACAACATGTGAGCCACTGGGGCATCGTTCTTTTGAATCCAAGGTTTCAGAAACAAAACTCATTGATAAGGTGGAAGGGTACTTGGGGTACTCCCTGGTAAGGTGGGAGGACCTACTATCCCATCAGTGATGTTGATTTTGTAAGAAAAGTTATTTTG